AGCCCAAACATCCGGAGTGGGAGCCCCATCGGCGCCCCCACCGCTTCCAAGATTCGGCCTGACGGCGAAGACTGCACTCCAAACACGACCTTCTCACTCAGCGATTGCTTAGCGATCTCTACGACCGATAACTAATAAAACGGTTCATATAGTGACGTGGTCGCAACAATAGCTCGGTAATTCGTTGACACTGGCATGAGAAGGAAGGCCCATGTTAAGTCGGGAGATGGCGAATGTCATATATTCAACCTTGTTGCGTATATTAAAGTCAGATAAGCTATGTCGACGTTGACAAGGGATCCACCAACCAAACCGGCCCTTCACATCCGGAACTCTCGTCGGGAGATTTTGTGGGACGATAACGATACTTGCGCCGTACGCCGTATTCCTTTTGGAAAGGCTGGCCACATATTCCAAGATTAATAGACTTGCGAGTGAATGTTATAATTAGTAGTGAGTAGAAAGGTCTGTTGCATACGGGTCTCGTGCTCATGCATGGCAGGGAATGTCAAGCCCAGTGAGCCCTGTGATCAAATGGGATCGAGGCGTAAAGACTCGGAGCAGAAACTTCATAATTCAGCATGGTTCCATATCAGATGAACTCGGCAATACGACGATGTCGGAGACAGTAACGCGTAATAATGCTACCACGAGCTGCCAATCCGGAGGAGATGTCCTGATCACCAAAGCGGGATGTCGATAGCTCTGTGACTTCCGATGAGACCGGTGGAATGATATGGGAGAGCGCGCGGGATGTGCCGAAAGACACATCGCAAGGAGATTCAGACTGGACCATCCTTCGAGATGGGATCCACATAGTAACCATAGCCGCGGCGTACTTCTCTTTCACGCATTCGCACGACTAGTCTGTTTTGTAGAATATTAATGTGAAACGTGCAAGATATATGGCGCCGAGATACAAAATGCGCCCAGTAGCCTAGTAATAGGCCCATGGGTAGGTATTCAGGTCACAAGGCGAGGAACCACGCTACTTGAACGCCACCCTGGCCTGGAGCCTTAATGATAGGCTGGTATGCTGCGCACCTGCCAGTGATGGGAAAAGTGGTGGACAGATAGAATGCGGCGGCCACCAGGAAATCGATGGCGTTTCTTGTCCTAAATCGGCGAGTCTCAGGGTGAACTGGCGAGCTGCCAACAGTAACGGCAAATTAGGTGTCGTGGACTGTGATCTGGAGTTCGCACCTCGGGCCGATTGAACGGAGCTATAAAGTTTATCCAATGCTCGAGTCGACAGCCGGCATAATTCCACACCATGTTGGAAGTCCTGGCCAAGGCACGAAAGACGGAAGGAATGCACGAAAAATTCTATAATTTTGTCAATAATAGGGGAAGTCAGAGTGGACGTCCTCGATTCTGATCCGATTCTGAGTCGGGAATCGATCCAGAATCGGCGTGCTCAGAATCGAAACAGAATCGTTGTTCCTCCTCTGGAGGAGGAACTCACGCAGAATCGACGTCTTTGAATCAAACTTGAATCTTCATCTAATCTTTTGATGAAGGAAGAGTCGACACGAAGAATCGAAGATGAAATCGAGGCGGTCAAAGTTGGATTCGATTCATGGTCGATTCTGTACTCAGAATCGGACCAGAATCGAACTCAGAATCAACCCAGAATCGACTCAGAATCGGCCACTCTGACTTCCCCTAATCCAAGCGACTCGGCACCCAGCATATAGCGGTTAAAATAAGGACTGTGGAGCTGTGCCGTGAGCATCTGGTAATAGTCAGGGAGACAGAAGCGGGTAATTTTCGATGAACCTAACCATTCGGTAGAGGATTTTCGCTTGGGTTGCAGGTTTTCAATTGAGTGGATTGTGGCTTCCCAAATAATTTTCTTCCTAGACCAGAAGGTTAGGACGATGAACATAGACCTTCGCCCCCGGCTCATGAGTATACCATTCTTGGTAAAGGTAAAGAGAGTTGGAAACTTGGAATTACGTACAATGGGATCAATACTAATCGCCCTCTGGTCCCGAGATGAGCATAAAAAGCTTGAACGGGTTCAGCCACCCGACACCGTATTTCTTGCCGACGGTCGCAAACTCTGGAGTCACGGACTCCGACGGAGTCGTGCCAGTCAATGACGGTGCGTAAGACGTCGAACAGGGGAGCTTTAGCATCGTGTAGGCCAGCGTTCATGGTCGAGTGTCCGAGCGCAGAAATTCAAGACATTAGGAGTGGGATCTAAGGACAAATGTGTTGCTATTTATGTAGGTACAGCAGGCGAGTTTAGCGTTTGTCTAAGTCACGTGTGCTTCAGGCGAGTACAACAAATTGTGTCAATCTAGTTTCTTCATGCGAAGTCAGTTGAACTATTTACACCCGAAGGGAATGGAAGCGGTGGATATTGGGCAACAGCCGTGCATCTTGGAATTTTCGCCATTCGTCGTCGACTGGAGCAACGTAAAATCAGCTTGAGCGAGGAGAGGGAGGTAATGCAGACCAGATACCGTGACGAATAGCTAGTTGAAGACACTGTGGTGGCGCGTTCCGATGTGGATATGCATTCCTCGCAACGCCAACGCGCGGAGAGATGCCATGTGCACAAGGGGGAGAGTTCCGGCTCGCCCGTAGTTCAGCCAGATCAGGCGGAACGATTTAAGTCTAGCACAAGAGGCGTCCGTGTCCGCTACAGCATTGGCACATCTAGAGTTTAATGCATTTACCAGGTTAATGTCCACCTGGTCTGAAGTGCAATCTGAGTACACAAGAGTCTGGAGCTTTGGAAGAAAATTCGGAACATTGCGGCGGTCTAGTGCATGGATTACATCAGCCGCGTACTGCGGTCCGACGAGCTCAAGGGTGGTGAGATGGATTGTGATATGGAACCATTCAGTGGGGATTGTGGGTGGCAAGCCGATAGTAAAGGTCCGCAAGGTGGAGAATGTGCGGGATAAGAACTGGAGAACTGCGGTATTTAGAGGGCCGGTCCATGAACCGTAGTCGCTTCCAAACTGCAGCTTTTCCAGGCGGGGTAGGGTGAGGAATTGAAGAATATCATGGTCAGCCTCGTCATACGCGCCTACAATGAGAGAGTTCAGGTCGGAGTGGCACATGAGCGGCTGCCCGATGGTCGACCCTTCCTCTTCCTCCTCGGGACAATCAACGCGACGGAACTCTTCAAGGGCCGTAGCCAGTCTTAATACACCTAGACATTCCTGAAGAGCGACCGAGGTAGCAGTGAACTTGGTTAATTGCGACCATGGCATCATCAACTTCGATGGTGCCAGGTGCTCTACTTCGAGGTGCGGAAGCAGAGGAGCGTCACTGAAGACTGGGATCGGGGTCCCGTTTGCTTCAAGCACACCATCGAAAGAAGTGAGAGTGAGATGACGGAGGCGAGGGAATGATTGGATGCCTGCAAGGTCGAAGAAACAGTCTGCATTTGTACCCAACGTCAAGAATTGCAGACGCGATGCATGCTGGCGGATGAGGGAATGCATGCAGGTGGATCGTTTTCCAATTTGGGGGTCGCTAAACTCTGTGTTGCAGATGGTGTCCCATAGGGCAGGGGTCGAGAGGGCAACCTCTCTCCACGCTGTGCATATTTGCAGGAGGAGGAGTGGGGCCATATCTGGATTCATAATGCCAGCATTGGGTTCAGAACACCACAGAAAAATCTCGGATGTAATTTCGGGGGGAAGGGTTAGAATGGGATAAACAAAGCGATCAAGCTGAACTTGTACGGTCGCTCTCTGTTCCTTGAGCTCCTGTAGAAAACGCTCATGTTGGGATATCGATGTGTCGAGATCGGAGAGATGGTTTCGGAGGATATCGCTCGGGTGGCAATGAGGTGGAAGACAAACGAGGCCGGCAATCTCCGTTCAGTTTGGGAGAGTTTGGCAGCGTCATCCACCTTGATCTCAAACCACCTAGCACGGTCGCTAAGGCAGTTGCGCGCCGTGCACTATGCCCGCCTGCTTACTCTGGCTCTGAGCACCCCACGTAGCATGCGTTCGAATCTGAACCGTGAGAATGAAACTGATTTTGACCCCGCCGCTTGGAATGTTTCCATGTTCTTACCTTGGGTACATCAGGCATAGGATGGATTTGTCTTGCGCTTTGTGGTACGTATATTCTTCTTTCCATATCACCCGCTAAGCAGGCCGTGATAAAAAATTGGATATCGCATATCACAAACGCAGACACGAGGCCGTTGAGCTGCCTGCACTTGACAATAAAAATCTTTACAATGGAGGCAGCGCACCTCCGCTTCCTACCTCCCTTTCATTCTTCTTCTCATCTGGCTACTTGCAGTCTCCGACAAAAAGGATCAGTAGAGAAGCAGGCGGATGCGGACGCGGGAAGTCGAATCCTATCAACTGCTTGCACTTCCCCTTCGACAGATGCGAAATTGAGGCAGTCGTGCACCGTGCACCACGTCCGCTTCCTACCTCTCTTCCACTCCTCCCCTTCCCAACTTTTTCGCTAGTGAGAGAACAAAAAAAGCGAGGACAACAGCGGAAGGCGGACGCAGGGAGTCGAACCCCGTTTGACTGCTTGCACTTATGAAGGATGACCGAATTGAATGCAGTGGTGCGCCGTGCACCACGTCCGCTTTTTACCTCCCTTCGTGTCCTCTTCTCATCTGGCAGTCTGTTGGAAAAAAGAATTTTGGAAGAGCGAGGCCATGCGGATGCGGGGAGTCGAACCCCATTTGACTGCTTCAACTGCGCGAAGACATGAATAATTAAATGCAGCTGTATGCCGTGCACCACGTTCGCTTCCTACTTCACTCCTATTCCTCCTCTTACCGGGCTTGAAATCTTTTGAGAACCCAAAAAATTGTTGAGGTACCGGGGAGGGCGGACGCGGGGAGTCGACTCCGGTTGGCTGCTTTTACATCTGTCTTACTCGAACTACAGAATGCAGCGGTGTGCTGTGCACTACGTCCGCTTCCTACCTCTCCTCCTTACCTCACTAATATCCTTTGTTTTCCAGCGGGAGAAATGCTGAAAAAGGTGAGGACAACAGCGAAAGGCGGACGCGGGGAGTCGAACCCCGTTCAACTGCTTACAATTTCAACCTCGTTCAAATGCTGCAGTGGTGCACCGTGCACTACGTCCGCTTGATACCTCCCTTCTTACCCTCTTCTCATCCAAGTCTTTCTCAGCCTTCGAGCCAAAAAGGGCTGGAAAGAGCGAATGCGGACGCGGGGAGTCGAACCCCCCGTTTTACTGCTTACATTCTTGGTTCTCACACTATATTGAAGGCAGTGGTGCACCGTGCACGTACGCTTCTTACCTCCATTCTTACCCCCTTTTCATCCGGGTATTCGGAGCCTCCGAGGAAAATAATGGGCTTGACATGGGCCATGCGAACGCGGGGAGTCGAACCCCTTGAGCTGCTTGTACTCAACTACCTCTTTATGGAATGCAGCGGTGCGCCGTACACCACGTCCGCTTTCTCCTTTCTTCTCCTCCCTTACCAAAGTCTTTCTCAGCCTACAATAAAAGAAAACTGTCAGTGGAAAGGCGCATGCGGACGCGGGGAGTCGAACCCCGTTCGACTGCTTGCACTGTAGGAGCTCAATAAATCATTGAAGGCAGTGGTGCGCCATGCACTACGTCCGCTTCCTACCTCCCTTCTTACCCTCTTCTTAACGGCCTGGATAATAAAAAGTTGAACGAAAATGGGGTAGACGGACGCGGGGAGTCGAACCCCGTTTGACTGCTTACAATCTACATTGCAGCATACAAATTGGAGGCAGTAGTGCGCCGTGCACCACGTCCGCTCTTTACCTCCGTTCTGCCCCTCACTAATACCAGCTGTTTAGCCTTTCAGAGAAAAAAGGTATCCAGACGATGAATGGGTCAGGCGGACGCAGGGAGTCGAGCCCCGTTTACTGCTTCAACGGCAGGACTACATGCAATGGAAGGCAGTGGTGCGCCGTGCATCCGTCCGCTTCTTGCCTCGCTCCTATCCCTTCCCTTACCTAGGGTTTAAAGGCTTTGCGCGAACCAAAAAAAAAAGATGAATTAGAGTAGAAATGCGGACGCGGAGAGTCGAACCCCTTCAACTGCTTCCAACAGGTTGGACGATAATTGAAGGCAGTGGTGCACCGTGCACCACGTCCGCTTCCGAGCTCCACTCCTTCCCTCTTCTCATCGCAGCTTTTCTGCATTTTATAAAAAAAGCTGGAAAGACCAGGGACATGCGGACGCGGGGAGTCGAACGGTGAACCCCGTTGGACTGCTTGCAAGGTCTTCGTGGACATTGGTACTGTATGCAGTGGTGCGCCGTACACCACGTCCGCTTTCTACCTCTCTTCCTATCCACTTCTCATCCAAGGCTTTTTGCCCGCGAGAGAAACAAACTGGAAGCTGAAAGGACCAGGCGGACGCGGGGAATCGAACCCCGGATTACTGCTTACAATTTCAACCTCGTACAAATTCTGCAGTGATGCGCCGTACACCACGTCCTCTTTCTCTCTGTCTTATTCCCCTCCTCCTACCTTCTTCTCACAGGCCTGGATAATAAAAAAGTGGACTGAAAGACATGGACCATGCGGACACGGGGAGTCGAGCCCCGTCTTACTGCGTACACACTGGATCTACTGGGAAATTGAATGCAGTGGTGCGCCGTGCACCACGTCCGCTTCTTACCTCCATTCCTCTCCTCCCTTTACCCAAGTTTATTGAAGCCTTGAGAGCCAAAAAAAAACCCGTGGAAGGAATGGGCAATGCGGACGCGGGGAGTCGAACCCCGTTGGACTGCTTCAACTGCCAGAAGCCATTCAAATCGAAGGCAGTGGTGCACCGTGCACTACGTCCGCTTCCTCTCTCCCTTCTGACCCTCCTCTTACCCTCTTCTTACAGGCCTAGATAATAATAAAAAAGTCGAGAGAAGCAGGCGGATGCGGACGCGGGGAGTCGAACCCCGTTCAACTACTTTCCACTTTTTCACCGAGCAGTGCACCGTGGACCACGTCCGCTTCTTACCTCTGTTCTGCACTTGGGTTTCTGCGGGGTTGTGCAGAGCTTTTTGAATAAAACACACAGTTAATTGGAGAATTTGAATGAGCACGACCTGCTAGCGGGATTTTCGCCTAGCGATTTGAATTCCGAACGACTGGAGGACTGGAATCTCGAACTTGATTGAAGGTACGAGATGAAATCAGGCTCAAATCGGAATTCTCAAACGCTCTCCGCAAATGAATACAAAAAAGAAAGAGAACCCAAGCTCGGGACCGCGTGTGGCGTCCATCGAACATTCTACCGAATATTCCTGAGGGAACTTCGAGAAGGGGCGATGTCTCCGTCGATCGAATCTCACAGCCTTGTCGAGGTGTGCAATACATACATCTAAAATCTATTACGATGCGGCGCCGTGCAAAATACTTGAATAATAATAATGATAAAGTCGGAAGGCGACAGGGCTGGTGGGAAGGGGAAGAATGGGAGGTGGGCAGGAAGGGGCACGCACGGTGGCGGCGGCGCGCGCAGGCGCGATTCGGGCGTGGGATTTCTGTGTTGGGAAGGGAAGGGGAGCGCGTGGCTGCCGGCGGGGAGTAATGGTGAAGCAGGGGAAGGGGTACAAGCACGAGCAGCAGGAGGCCGGGCAGGGTGCGAATTCAAAATCGCGGGCCTGGGCCAGCAGCTGTCGTACGGCCGTCCGTCGTCGTATATATTGACGAACGGCGACTGACCGAGGGTTAGATCGGGCACCACCCGACGTCGCCAAACAGACAGCATTGCTATTCAGACGCGCTCTGCTGACCGACGGACGATCGTCCCCGAGCACCGGCGACTCGACGTAAGTCGCCGGAGCTCTCCCGCGAAACGAACGAGCGAGCGTCAATGGAATGGGCTGATGGGAAAAAGAGTTTTAAGCTCTGCTCGGCCACATCGAAGTCTGCTCTAATCTTGCTCGGCCGTAAGTGAATTAGCATGGCCTCGGGGAGTTGATTACGCGGTGGGTGGCCGGAGCCTGCGCTCAGATTCACTGCGTCGTAGATCTGAGTCAGGTAGATCTGGATTGGATTGGATCGGTGGCCGCGGATCAAATTTGCAATTGAATGAGTGAATAATCCAATTAGCCTCCTCGCCAACCAGATCGGGAACTCAGCCAACCAGCCTCGCTTGCTAAATAACGCTCTGCATTCCTTCATTTTCCTCGACATTTTTATTCACTCGCTGGGATGGGCGACTTGTACGTCGACATGGAGTACCCCCACATCAACTACACCGCGGACGAGGGCGGGCTGCCGGCGTGGGCGTTTGACGCGCCGCCCCCGCCGCCGCGCATGACGCTCGCGGGCAGCCTCGACCCCACCACCGGCATCTTCTACCGCACCCCGGAGCACCCCCGCCTCCGCACCGCGCAGGCCTGCGACAAGTGTCGTACCCGCAAGGCAAAGGTCTGCCTTCCTTTCTCTTCTTTGCGTGGGGCCGAGTCTCAGTTGTGTGTGCGCAGTGCTCCGGGGACCACCCCTCCTGTGCGCGCTGCCTCGCCCGCGGGCTGGTCTGCGAGTACGCGAAAGAAGGCCGCGTGCGCGGGCCCAACCGTACCCCGCGCTCGCGCCACGCCTCCGTCTCCGCGTCCTCCCAGCCCCACTCGCCCGCCCCACTCCCGTACTCGACGCTCTCCCCCACCGGCGCGCTCACGCTGGCGGCACTGGGGAAGCCAAGGCGGCGGCGCACGGCGACGCTCCCGCCGGGCGCCGCGCCCCCGCCGCTCGCGTCCACCCGCCCGCTCGCCCTGCCCAACCCGAAGCGCCTGTCGCTCCCCGCGGCGCTCGACCTGCGCTTGCTCTCCGGGGCGATCCCGCTATCCCCCTACCCCGACGCGCGCGGCTATGGAGAGGAAGACGGGGATTCGCGCCGCGGGAGCTACGACAGCTACGCGGGCGAGGTGGGGTACGACGCATACGCCCGCACGCTCGACGGCTTCCCCGCCCATCCCCTTCCCCCGTCGCACTCGCACCCGCACCTCGCGCACCCCCACCCGAAGCACCACCACCACCACCACCACCACCACCATGCGGGCTACGAGCAGCACTTTCCGCTCGAGGCGGGGTACGCGCTCGACCCCCACCACCACCTCGACTCGCACCCCGGTCTGGACTCGCACGGCCACGGACACCTGGATTCCCCGCACGGACACGGCCACGGCGGGCACCCACCCACGCTGCGCATCGACGCCTCGCCCACGGCACTCCGCCTCGGCCTCGACAGCTCGCCGACAACGCGCCTCGGGCTCGGGCTCGGCATCGACGCCTCGCCGCCGTCCCTGCGCCTCGGGATGGACGCGCTGGGCCTCGGCCTGCGCCGCCCCGCGTCGCCCGGCACGAGCGCGTCGGGCAGCTCGCGCTCGCGGAGCAGCTTTGACGAGTCTAAGTGAGTCTTTCTTTTTATGCGCTGTGCTTGTTCCGGAGTCGTCTCCTCTTTCATTTCTCCATGTTCGGGCTCTGCGACCGGTTCTGCTTTTTCGGAGACGTTCCGCTGGGGACGTTGTATTGGGGCCACGGCGTACATTCGTTTCTTTCTCGCGCGCGAGGCACTGTGTCCCGTCCTTCTCGCACTCGTCGTCTCCTTCCCCTTCTTCCCGTGCATTTGCGTCGTCTCCTTCCTTCTCGCATCCCGGCGCGTATCGGCCTCGTGCGCGTGGCGCTCGGTTTCTGTTCCTCGACGGCCACGGTTCCGCAGAGCGCGCAGTCCTCTCCTCCCGTGCGTCCGTCTCTCCGCGCGAATAGGCTGCTCTCCTCCACGGCGTCCTTCTCGCTGCGAGAGCGTGGCCCTCATAGTCTTTCTATGCGCTGTGTCGTGGCCGTGGTCCTTCCCTCTTTTTTCTTTTTTCTTTCGGGGACGTTTCAGCGCTTTCGTGTGTATTGGGACGCTGCGGCGTACATTCGTTGCGCTGTGGACGTGGGCGAGATATCTCCGCCGCCCCTTCCTGCGACCGCCCGCGGGCTGCCGTCCTTCCCGCTTTTTTGTTTCTCGCTGCGTGCAGGTCTGTACGCAGCTCTGCCTGCACCCGGCCTTCTCGCGGCCCGCGAGCGGGCCTCGTGCGCGTGCATGGCGCTCCGTGTCTCAAGGTCGACGTGGCGCTCCTGTCTTCCGCCGACGGTGCTGAGCACCCGTCCTCCTCTCCCCTCCATATCTCGATGTGCTGTTACTGTCCCAGCTGCGCGCGGGGCCTCCCTTCGCGGAATGCGGCGACGTCGTACCCGTCTCTGTCGCCTTCTTCGCAAATCTCATGCGCGAGGCTCTCGATGCGCGCGCGGCGTTCTTGTTCCTCGACGGGCACGGGGCGCTCGCAGCGGGCGGCAGTGCTTCTTCCGGTGGGCGGGCGGGGACGTCTGTCCTTCGCCCCATCCTGTGCATTTACATCTGCTTCTCCGAGTCCCAGCGACGCCCGCGTGTCGGGGGTGCACGCAGCGGGCGGCGGCGGCGTGTTTCATTCGTTCCTGCACACCGCCCTCTTCCTTCCCGCGGAGGCGCCCATGCGCGCTGCGGCTGTTTTCGATGCGTGCATGTCGTCCCCGTCCTCCCCGCAGTTCTCCGCGCGGGGCGCTGGCCGTTCCTCGATGAACGTTGCGTTCGTCCTGGCTAAGCGCCGGGTTCGTCAGCTATGGCAAGGGCAGCGCAGGGTTACGTGCGCGCTGTGGCATCTGGGGGGCGTTGGGCGTGCTCCTGCTCGTGCTCGTGCTGTCGATGTCTTCCGTCTCGTCGGCCGGGGTGCCCAGATCGTCGGCCTCTCCTCTTACATCCTGCTTCATGGCCACCGTGGGCGGAGTGCGCATGCACATAGGGCGCACGCGCCGTGCTTGTCGTGCGCAGACCGTCGATGTCCTTCGCGAGCCTCAGGCGGCACTTTCATGCGCGGAGTGCAGCGGCGTCGTCGACGGCTCCTCATTGCGAGGTGCGCGGGGCCTCCTGTCATTTCTGGAGCGTGTGTCGGTGTTTCTCGACGTACCCGGATTGCGCGGTGTCGGCTGTGCTTTCCTGCGGGTGCTCGAGATGTGTTTCCAGGCGTGGGTCTTGACTGTCTCTGGTGCTGTTCCCGTTCGTGTCGCAACCCCTCGTGGGGCGCTGGTCCTTGATCAGCGAGCGCTGCGTTCGTGAGCTATCGCCAGCGCGCCGTGGGTGGAGTTACCTACCGTTTGTGTGTTCGAGGGCGCGGAGATGCTGTCTGTAGACGATGCACGCCTGAGGGAGCCACAGCGCCGCGCGCGGGGGGCGGAGGGCGCTGACGCTGCTTTGCGTGGTGCTACGTCGAGCCTGACTCTCTTCTTTCCTCATCCCTGCCTCCTTCCTCCCTCTTTCTTATCCCCTTCTTCTTTCTCTCCTCCCCTTCCACCCGCCCACGCACGCACATGCTAACGTCGTTTCTTCCCTCCCCGCAGCCCGCCCTCCGCCGTCTCGGGCTCCTTCCCCCTCTTCCGCGCGCCCTTCTCCCCGCACCCGCACCCGCACGCGACGCCCCATCCTACGCCATACTCGCCCCACCCTGGCTCCGCCCACCCTTATTCCCCACATCCGAGCACGTACTCCCCACACCCAAACACGGGCGCGTACTCGCCGCACCCCGTGTCTGCCAGCGCGAGCGCGTACTCGACGCCCCACTCGGCGGGGTACTCGCCGCACCCGTTCGACGCGCCGTCCCTCCCCCATTCCCACTCCCACTCCCACTCCCAGCATCCGTTTGACACCCCGCAGCAGGGGCAAGGGCAGAAGGGGCAGCAGGCGATGGAGTTTGAGGTCGTGCGCACGCGGAGTGGGAGCGGGGGGGCGGCGGGCGGGGAGTTTGATGGGCAGCAGCACGCGTACTCCCCGCACCCGTTTGAGTCGCCTGTGCCGGTGCGGGTGGGTGGGGCGATTCATTTCGAGCGTTCGCCCCGCCAGCACGACTCCTCGCCGCAGCGGCCGCCTGGAGGGATGCAGCACGCGGCGTTCCTCGACGAGACGCTGTCGTTCGACCCGCAGGTGCATGGGCACGGGCACGGGCAGCCGCATCCCTTTGAGGCAGCGCATTCGCATCGGCAGCACGGGTTCGGTTCCCCGCAGCGACAGCACCCCGAGCACGAGCACGCGTTCGACCGACAGCAGAGCGAGTTTGGCGGGCCGCAGTTGCCGTCTGCGGCGTCGCTCGAGGGGCTGCTTTCTTTCGCGGGTGCGGGTGAGGAAGGGGAGGATGGGGAGGAGGTGGGGATGGAGATGGAGGGCGTCGAGGCGGCGGAGGCACCCGGGCTCGGGCAGCAGCTCGTCTCGAGTCCTGCGATCGGCGCTGCAGGCGGCGGCGGCGGAGGGCGGCTCCGCGGGTGGGTCGCGCCGCCCAGTATGCTTCTGTCCGACACGCCGTCGATGCCCACGTCCCTCTCGCCACCCGTTATGCCACTGTCCGCGTCCGTGCCCGCCCCGCTGTCAGCGTCGATGGCGAGCGCGATGGCGGGCGCGGTGACGGGGGGCGTCCCTGTCTCTGTTTCTGGGCCCGTTGGCGTGTCTGCAGTGCCGATGGGGCGGACGCTGTCCGGCGGCGCTATTGGCTTGGGCGCAGGTGGGGGAATTGATGCGGGTGCAGGTGCAGCGGGGAGGGTGGGGAGGGGACGGGCGGCGACTGTTGGTTCAAGGGGGTTCTAGGGCGCCGTGCGAGGAGTGCCGCGGCGGGGCGCGATCCAGACTATACCTTCCCCTCTTTCTCCCTCATCCTACGCCGCCTTCGTCCCATCCCATCCCATCCTACGCCGACTTAACCCTCCGCCCATCCTACGCCGACTTCATCTCCACATCCCCACTCCGCCGCACCCTGCCTGCTCCCGTGTTTCCGACATACGATACGATCCGTGTTCCTATTTCTCGTTCTTTTTTGGTGCGCCCCGCGACCGATGGGGCATGGACTTGATGTTGTAGAATTTATCTGTACAGTAGGATGGCCCGAGCCCTAGCTGAGAGGGGGAGCAATAAAATGTATGATATTGGCTTCGTGTCGTGTTAGGTGTTCGTTGTGATATATGCGGTACTGGGGTGGCGCGAGGTGGTAAGATATTCTGCGCGTCGGGGGCGTTTGGCAGGAGAGGCGGAGGAGGAGGAGAGCAGAGAGAAAGCCAGGAGACGAAGGGGTGGGATGGAAACGAGTTGAGTTCTCAGTTGTTGTCGCAACTGGTCGGCGAAAGCGCCGGTTGTGGCGGATCAAGATACTGTGCACGGAAGCAATTCGCGGTGATGACAAGGAGGGGTGACGTCATGTTCGATTTTTTGTTGGTTCAGTGGTTAGCTGGTTTGTTTCGGGCGGGATGGCAAGCGCATGCAGGGGATACTCTATTGAGCGGTGGATTCGATTCAGTTCGAGGATGTGCGGAATTAATCTTTGGGAAATGAAGCACTGCGATGTCGGAACCTCTTTCCTGTTTTCTCAGAAAATCTAGCATGCTCAAAAAAGCATGAATGAGAGGAAGACTGGAATGGAGGGAGTACGCGGACGTGGTGTATGGAGCACCACTGCCGAGTTTGATCTGTGTGTAAAAGGGATTATGAAGCAGTAAGGACGGGGTTCGACTCCCCGCGTCCGCTTTCCCACCTGAAGTCCCACTTTTTTAATCCGGGGAGGTTTTGTTAAGATAGCACCCATGAATGCAGGTTGAGAATGGTAGGAGTAAAGCGGACGTGGTGCACGGCGCACCACTACACATATTAAACATGGTGTACATCCTAAAGCAGTTGAACGGGGTTCGACTCCCCGCATCCGCAAATAAATCCGAAGATTGAGATTTCTGCTCACAAAGTTGCTAAAGCTCAGATGGGAGGTATAAGGGTAGGAAGAGAGGTAAGGGCTGCATCACTACCTCAATTTGATAGGAGGAGAAATGCAAGGCATTGCAAGCAGCAGAACTTGAAAGGGTTCGACTCCGCGTCCGCCTTCCCACTTGAAGCGCCACGTTTTTTGATCCCGCGACGTTGTTTAATCAAGAAAGTCCCAATAAATGCAGGGCTAGAACGGGAGGTAGGATGCGGACGTAGTGCACGGCGCACGACTGCAGAGATTGAACTCAGGTGAAGGCAATTGAAGCAGTTGAACGGGGTTCGATTTCCCACGTCCGTATCCGAGTTGTCTTCGTTCAGTTCTTTTCAAGCGTTTCTAAAAGCCCGGACGAAAAGAATGTAAGAGGCGAAGTATGAATTGGACGTAGTGCACGGCTACCACTGTGTATTCTGAGTCGGCGAGATGAAAATGTGTCTAACAGCAGTTGACCGGGTTTGATTCCCCGCGTCCGCCCTCGCCTCCGTCTGCGTTGATTTGTTGATTTTGATTTCGAGAGCGTCAAAACCGCAGATATATTGAGGTCAAGATGTGAAAGAGGAAGCGGACGTGGTGCACCGCGTAGCATTGCATTCCACGGCTGATATGGAAAGCCATTGAAGCAGTTGAAGGGTTCAGCTCCCTGCGTCTGTCTCCATTCCTCTCGGACTCGAAGGGCTTGAATATTTCAAATGGAAGCGGCACGCCACCGCATTCCATCCTGTCCTTGATGAAACTAAGATCAACCTGTTAAACCATCTAGGTTCCCACACTGCATCAAGTTTTGTTCTCACGGTTCAGCTTTGTATTTTGGAAACATGCCACGTAACGAGTCTGAGAAACGGATTGCGGAAGCGGAGGTGGTGTACGGCTCACTCCATCTCATGCAACTGATCTCGGAAGCTGTAAGTAGCTGCCTAGCTTGATTTTCTATCACCTTTTACTTTCAGGAAGGGATTTCGAATGAAAATTCACAGAAGTGAAATGCGTTGAGAATGAAGGGAATGAGCGGACGTGGTACTGGGCTCCCCACTCCGATAAGTTGCAAGAGCGACCAGTATAAGCCTACATATGGTGAGGGGAACAGAAATGGAAAGAAGAAGAAAGCTTGAAAGTGGGTCCTCGCAGGTGACCTTTTTTTAAAAACTTTTGCTCCGCCCGATTGTTCAAGGCTGAAGCATAATCAGAAAGCCCTTTTCGTTTCCAGACTAGCTATTTACCTAGTGATTTCCCGTTGCATTAAGATTACCTCTACTAGTATGCTACATTCTTGATGCATTTGAGTGAGCGATAACAGTCTAAGTCAACGTGCGCCGGCGTCATCGAATCGTTTATTAATTCCAGCGGAGTTTTCTAGGTATTGTCATCGACAGTGCGCCGCGGCGCTAGGACTCATTCCCAGTGGCGCAGGAAAAGCTCCGAGCTTGAAATCTTTGGTTGGTCACTAATAATTCAGTTCAGCTTCGAGGAGTAACACCGAGGCGATCCTGTGGCTGATTGGGAGACAGCACGACGGACATCTCGGTCCTTACGCTTATTTGTATGCATCTCGCAGACTCTCTGCGCCACCTTCTAACGCAGGCTAATACTTTGTTTATACTTTTTCCAGGGCGGATTCGAAAACTCTTCGGAATCCCAACGTGGCGATTTTACAAGGTGGATTTTACATGTCGTGTCTGCACTGGGTGCCTTGTCCACTCATCGGACGGTACTTCAAGACATTAGGCCCACTGAAAACCATTCCTGATTATACCACAAGTCACCGGCGCAAGTATTGTATTTTTCTTTCATGCTAATTTAATTCGAAACCGGCTTCGCGTGCACACCGCGTGCGATTCACGCGTGGGATTTCCATACATAGACCCATTCCTCAACGCCGGGGCGCCACAGCACACGATGCACCCACCGGAGTCAATTGAATTTTAAGATTCACGCCAACGTAAGAGAACAGAAGCGTGTTACATCGTAATGCTAGTATTCTTGCCGTCGCGTGGCACGACAGGAAGTGGAACATTCCAACCACAGCGCCACTGGGCCCGAGGACCCGAAAGGTGGGTTCTTTCACATTTAAATTATTAACCGTTTCGTTAGATGGCGAGGGAGACACGATTATGCATCTACCTATTGTTTAGTTAACCATGAGACGATCCACCTCCCTCATCCACCTCAACATAAACGCGACCACTGCACACTGGAGTTCTGTCCTTTTTGAGCTGCGAGGTCGCCGATTTTACCCGTAAGAGTACGAGGACGCCACATGAATGCTGTTTAGTAGCGCCTGACTGACTTTCCTCTAGGGCTTGCCATGTAGCGAGTACATTTGAGCCGTAAAAGCAGCCCGGCGATTTACCTACCCGGTTCAAGGATGCATCTTTTAGTTCTTACCGACCCCGCGGACGTTATATTGTGCTTGCGTATCAGTCTCAGGCGCCAGTTTGCAAGTCAATCTTGAAGCCATATTTTGAGCATCAGGGATAGATAGAAAGCGGGCGTGGTGTACGGAACACCTCTGCATTGAATAAAATGTTGAGTTATGAGATTGATTCGGCAGATGCTCGGGGTTCGACTCCCCGCGCCCGCGTAGGTGGTTTGTATCAAAGTTTTGGATCTTCAAATTCATTTACACCGTCCCTAAGCTACATCAGTGGGCGGTAAAGAACTCGCTGATAGCTTATTTCGGCCACATTTTGATTGAACATTCAGGGTCGAGCAAGTTCAAAGACCCCTGCCCTTAACTTCTGGCAAGCCTGGAGTCCCTTATCATCTCGATTCTGCCGTCTCGTACTTGCTGGCAAGGAGCAAAAATATCGTGTTATGACACGTTCTCCAGTTAAGTCGCCGGTGCTTCCGGAAGGCTGAGGCACCCTCGCAAGTTCAGACACCGGCGCATTAAACTCAGAGTTACGGCCGTCTGAACGCCACGTCTGCTGTCAGGGCTTCTGGTGCCTCGAAACGACACTAAGGAGGTGAACTGCTGACACTGCCGAGCTGGATGGACCTTTAATCGTCGGCAAGACCCCGCGGGCGGTGAGTCGTGGAGTTTAGTGTTTCTTGTCGAGAGGGCGACGCTACCGAAGATGGAATATCTGGCAGGAGCGACAAAACCTCGTCGGATGGGAAGCGGTAACTGAGTCCCTGGGTCGAGGGAAAACGGAGGCATCACATAAACTTCCCATGAATCCACACAGGGGACCAGGGTATAAACTTCGCGCCCAGCGATAAGATAGCGCGAAGTCGCCTAAGAAGGAGAACACTGACCTCGAAATCCCAACCGGAGTGAGGACCGGGATGCGAGCCGCTAAGGCCGCAACCATAGCTTAATCTCGCGGGGGCACTTTATCTCCTGCATTAAACGGAAATTGACGGCGAGATCGATACCATTAATTGGAGATTCAAAGAAATCTGCGCGACAATTAGCAGAGCAAATACTGACGACATAGTGCATTATCAGAGAGAAAGAAAAAAAAGAACTCAGAGCTGTCTTGCCACCTCCTCCTCGTCCGACTCGTCGTCGCTATCGCTCTCCCGCGCTTGCACGTCGCGCGTTGCAGCCTCCAGCACTTCCACATCCCACCCGATCGCACTCTTCGAAATCAGCACGCCTCGCACCGCCGCGCCGAGCTCGCGAAGCGTGTCATCTCTGCCCCTGAGCATTACCGCTAAAACGACAGAGAAGAGGAGCAAAGGGCATACCGCGCAGACGACTGCACCCAAACACAGAAGTCCTCGAGCCAGATCTTGCTGTAGACGTAATATACCTCGTGGTGCGCGAGGACGTGCCGCGTCTCAAGGAGCACGCGCAGGACCGTGCGCGTTCCAAGTAGCAGGAGGCCCGCGACGTCTGCACGGCAGGCTTCTGCCAGCGCGAACGAGCGGTATAAGGGGAACGCTAAGGAGCGGCGGTACGATTGCGCAAGGCATGCGGTAAGGTCCGCGGGGGAGGGCATGTGGGACGAGGTAGCGAGCGCGCTGTACGGCGGCGGGTCCAGCGCAGAGAATGTGGGCGTGAGGGAGCAGATGGTCCACGCGCTCTCGGGGGTGAAGTCGCCCAGCGTCGTGCGGGTCTCGTATGCGTAGGAGAAAAGAATGCTCACTAGCGTCAGGTACAGGCTTTTGGTCTGACGCCCGTCGATAAGGTCTGCAGGGGTTCAGAAGATATGTACGTCGTGAGGAGCAGGACGTACGTACACTCTTTGCGCGGGAGGTTGAGCAGTGCAAGGTTTTCCTCATCAGTAAATTGGAAGGGAGCAGTGGCTGCGACATGGGGATTTGTCCACAGAAGGAGCTCTTGTATGTATTCATCGTCCGCGTAGTCCGCCCTGGGCTCGGTGAGATATGTGATTTGAGAACGAGGAAGAAAACAGACATGTAGTGCTCCTCGTCCCATTTCTCGTCTTCATGTTTCCATCGTTTTATGCGCCGTTCTCGGGACTGTATGTCTCGGCATCAGCTCCGAGCTCGTTTACCTCGTTTTCTGTGTGCGCGACGTGCTTGAAGTAGCCCAAGTGCAAGTTTAAAAACCCATATGTTTGGGTGAGCGCCATCGTGATCGACGGGTCGGCGGACGGCACTTCCTGAGGTATTTGCCAGTCGTTCTCGGCCGCTGTAGAATTAAAATTAGGTGATCCCTCGATCATGGCGTAGGCAACTCGTACCAAGCAAAATCTCTTCCTGTTCTCGCTCGCGCTCTAGCGACAACGCGTCCGTTCGAGCAACAAGCTCATCCGCTTCGTCGGCGTCTTCTGTTCCGATCACTTCAATCAACGGTGTCTGCTGGGACGGCCGAGGAGCCAGCAATTTCGGAAGAAGATCCAGGTCAGCAAATTCTTGGCCTCTGGACTCTTTGGTCAACGTGACAGTCAAGTAGCCCGAGCTCGGGTCATATCGCGCCGAGGACGCCTCATCTTCGAGGACCGGGTGCGAAAAGTTGAGGCGCAGTTGATGTGGACCGTGCAAAGCGTGTCGTCGACATGGATTTCTGCATCTGCAGCCTACTTGACGGTGCATCTCGGTGTCAAGTCGTGGGCACGGAGAAAAAGGATTCCGCACGCGAACTGAGGGACACTATATTTTTATGACCACGGCCTCTGGCGTCTGGTTGCACTCGAAGCGCGGGGTAATCATTTGCGAGATGGAAATGGTTTGAGGTCAAGGCGGATGACGCTGCCAAACTCGGCCAAATTGAGCGGAGATTGCCAGCCTCGTTTGTCGCTTATTACCATCCGAGCGATGTTCCTCGACATCCTCCGAAACCAGCTCTCCGACCTTGGCATCTCAATATCCCAGCATGAACGGCTTCTACAGGAGCTCAAGGAGCAGAGAGCGGCCGTACAAGTTCAGCTCGATCGCTTTGTTTATCCCATTCTAACACTTCCTCCCGAAATAACACTTGTGCTTTAGGGGCCATTGCATGCGCATGGCAGAACGAGTCCGGGCCGGATTTCATTTTACTGTGCGGCTATCAAACGGTCTGATGTCCGAACCTGGGCTACTGACTTTAAGACAACTCCATCGCCCCGCCTGCCCGCCCGAAGTTCGATCAGTGTTGTGCATAGATCACTGCGACCGCCGTTTTTTCGCCGCACCTTTGCAAAGAACCGCCTGCGTTCAATTCCCTCAACTGAATATCTGGCACACATCTTCTGCCTGTTGCTATGCCATCGTGAAACCAGACGTTGCCGGCTGCATCAATGAACCTGGAGGTAAAATGCCCCCCTCCGCCGTATATTATGCCTCTGAGCTTTACTCTGACCAATTGGTTGTCGCAGTCGAATGCTAGCTCTTCGTCGAAGGTAAACCTTGCATCGTTCACATTGATTAACAAGATCCCAGGTACATTCGTCATCCGGGTGAGCATCACCATTTTGCATCTTATATGCCGGGCACGACATGCAGGACATCGATTTCGTCCGCGGGTCATGTATTTATGCATCCAGGTACGCAACGGAACGCGGTCGTTACCCGTTGTTTCGTCGTTCAGGCTAGCTGTCATCCAGGCCTCAAACACATTGTATTCAACTGGATCAGTGAAGCCGCAGCGTGGGCAGGATTGCTTTCCAAGTGCATAAGTTTTGTAGGGGAACAGTGCGGAGGCCAGTCTATCTATGGATGTTTGGTTAGGACCATAAGGGAAGTACGAAGCATTCTGTCCGTGCATTCTCCTTCTTATACCGTCTCTTGCTTGCTCCAAGGATGAAAGGTTATTTTGGACCGAGGTGAGGTTTGAGCTAAACCGGGACATCAAGTCGCTCATCGTGGAAAGTCTGGCTCTCCACAGCTCGGGGTTTTCTGCCCATATGTTTGACAGTGTCGTGAAAGTAGCATCGTAAGCACAGCTATGATTTCGATTGTCCCAGATCAAGCCTACAGGTCGTGCCATCACTGTGTTTTGCGAGCTGTTCGCTCCATATGGCCTCTGTTTGTCTTTCACTTGTGAGTCGACTTTTGCTCGTTTTGCAGGGGGTTCCGGAACAGCACTAACTTCTCCGCTCGCTTCCGCCTTCTTTCTTTTGTTATTAATTTTCACAGAGGGTCGCCACTCGCTGTAAGTTACAGGCTCTGGCACTCTTGGACCCATAGAGGCATTCCATCTCATGGAAGGATGAAAATGGACCGGGTCATTGTGGGTCGACTTCCACGCGTAGAATGAGCGAATTAACCTTCGCCTGTACAGTCCTGTAACCGAGGGGGGCAAGAGGCCAGCACACCGAAGCCTAGTGATTTCGTCTAAAATTTCCAGCTCCCTCAGCTCCTGCCTTAGATAACCCGACATCCCTCCAGTTATCTTGTCTGTGCTCAGATTTTGTACAATGACGGTGCCCTTGGCCGACGTTCCCCTTGACAGAGCTACGTAGTAAGACATGTGATTCTTGCAGTGCCCTAATTCCACAACGTTTATTACTCTAGATTTCCCTTGAGACGTATAGTCCGTCATCCCGAAATTGACTAAAGCCACTATTTGTTCCCTGAGAACAGACAGCAGGGTGTCGTCTTCGAGCAGGATCGTGACATGGCTCACAGTTCTCACCAGAGGCACCACGTTTGGAGGTAAGCCATCTACTTGTATATTTTTTGGGGGGTTTATGAGTTTGACGAACAGAGTATCCAGTACTTTCTGTCCCAATGGACCGACGCTTTCATCCCAACCGACAACCGCGCCCTCTTGACCTTTTGTTATACACATCTCGGTGGCGTCGTTGGCTCGCAGCATCACGGGCATCCCGATGCACAAAGACAATTTTCCGGGTATAAATTCATTTGTGGTGCATGGAGCCGCATCCCACAGTTTCTTCTGAAGCCCCTTTGTCATCCTTTTAATTTCAGACTGCTCGCAACCTTTCCATTTCACTCTGTCCACAGATCGAGAGCTGATCCTGTCTATTGAACAGAAGTGGATCAAGTCTTGATTGGTATCAGCAGCAAATCGCCTGGCTCCCAATTTGTTCAACATGTCTTTCTGACTGTTCCTCGCCGTAATTATGGATACGTTCCTGAATTCAATATTTCCTAATTTTGGATTTTCAGGGCGGAAACCGGCTACGCGCGATTCCAGGAATTCTATGTCTTGCGGAGTACAAGCCC